TATGGTTATTGGAGATACTCCTCCAAATTCTCTAGATGATAATCCTCCTTCACCTCCACCTCCATCATTAATTCCACCTCCACCTCCTCCACCATCTCATTCACCTCCTCGCACTCCTCCTGGTTCTCCTCCCCAATCTGATGCTGCCAAAAAGGGGGAGAATAATCAAGAGAGTCCTGATCACCAAATGCAAATGGATCAACAAATGCAAATGGTGGTGATTGCATCAACTCCATCTCAGCCTGTGATGTCTGAAGCTGTAAGGGTTGAAGCTGACTTTCAAAAGGAAATTGTTGTTGCCGACATCCCAGACGCTGATGCAACAACTGATGATCAGCCCATTCCAGACACTAGTGATCAATCAGAAACCGATGACTACGAAGGTTTCTTGATATTAGATTCATGCCACAAGCTGTTGTTCCTTTGAATGTTGTCTACCCTGATTCATACTTTGAGGGATAGGTTCCTCAAGGAAATAATAGTGACATTGAGTCTGATAATGATAAACTCAATCCTAGAAAGAGGAAGGCTTCCTTCACAGGGGTATCTCATGACGCTGAAGCTGGAAGTTCTTCCATTGCTGGTGATCCTTCTGCACCTCCTCCTTCCAAGAAAAGCAAGCTAATTTTTTTATCTAAATGTTTTAGCTGGAATATAGGGTTAACTGTTGATGAAGTAAGAGAAATCATGATAGAGATTAATTCGGCTATTCGAGAAAAGAAAGAAGCTAGAAAAGGAGAACGTTTGTCAGCTAAACTTGCTCAAGCTCTTGCTTTTGCTGAAGAAAGTGCTGATGTTCAAAGCACTAATGATCAAGTCAAGAAAATTTAGCTCTTCAATAATAGTGTGGATAAACAAAACAAGGTTTCAGAGCTGAACGACATGATCAATCGAAAGAAGTTTGGAGATGTTCTGACTCGAAGAACAAAGCCTGATCCCATTATCAGGGTGAGATGCACCAAACCAAGGAACGAGTCTCTAAAGTTTCACTTGGTCAGGAAGAAGACTGAGTATAAGTACACCGAGGTTGTATTCGCTCATGAGCTAGTCAAATTTGCCTACAACGAGTGGATACATATTCAAGAAATTATCGACAAACACAAAGGTATTCATGCTCAGGAGGTGAAGTTGGCAATTCAATAACTACTCAACAAAGTCAAGAAGCTGAATCTTGTGCCATCAGCTGGTCCCTCAAGACCATACACCTCAGGAAGAACATGCACCCCCAGATAGTCTAAGAATACTAAGTTTATTCTTCCTTATGTCACTTAGTACATGAACAACGAACTGCCAGCGGGTGTTAAACCAGTTCAGTACATGTTCATTTAAGAACCAAAGCATGGAATTTTCTATACTGACAGTCAAAATCACATGTTCTTTCAACACACTTATGATCTTCCTACTGCTCCCACTGAACATTTGTTTCATCTTCGCATGGAAGGACTTAGTCATTTTGGACTGGAAAGAGGATATAATGTGCTGATATCTTCGGAGCTTGGTAAAAGATTGGAAGAACTTAAAATTGATGAATTCAGATAGGTTAATCCTAAGATCTTGAAATAAGCTGACAAATTCTACAACAGTTCTTCTAATGACTCTGAAGAAGAAGATTAGTTTTGACATCATCAGATAGGGGGAGATTGTAAGGTCACACCTTATGATCTGATGCGTCAAACATTCTACACTCTATACGCCAACGCTAATGTCAAGATCAACATCAACGCCAACGTCTCATGTCTATCAGCGTCAACGTGTAGATAGTTATTCTATGTAACTTTTGTATATTAGGTAATGATACAGATAAGTATAGAATAGATAGCAGATACGATATATTTGTTATAAAGATCGGTTCTTAGTATAGATTAGATACAGTCCCTTCAATCAAGGGATATACTTGTATATATTAGATACAATCCCTTCAATCAAGGGATATACTTGTATAGATTAGTATATATTCAACATTAGGGTGAATCCCTAATGCACATGTCTTGGTGACCGTCTTTGTGACAACCCCGTTTTCTTGGTGAATCCTCTATGTTATTTACTTTTCTATTCTTTAATTTTTTAGTAATTTTGTTCTTGTTTGTTATACTTGAAGTTTATCCGATCGACACAAACCTTCAGTAATGAGTTTTCATGGCTATGGAACAAACTTCTATTCCATTTGAACTTAAAAAAACATTTCTAAGTTAGTGATAGGCTTGTAAATATTAGGTATGACAAGGATAAAATATAAACAAATTATAAAAGGCTAAACAACAGAAGAACACCTTTAAATCAAAACAATGTTTTGGTTTGGTTAAGTTCTAGTTGATAGTCTAGTTAGAAGAAAGTATATTATGGTAATAGTTGATGAAATCACCAGGTACACATGGTTATATTTCTTAAGGTTAAGAGTGATGCAACATATGCGGTAATCATTTTTATTAGAATATACTCCCTCCGTCCCAAAATTATTGTTCACAGATAAAAAACACATAGATTAAGAAAACATTAACTACCACTAACTTTATCAAATAAAATGACAATTGCACCTTTTTGTTGCATTTAATTCCATCTTTTTGTTGCATTTAATTCTATGGTAGGTTAACTAATAATGATGGGTATTTTGGTAAAAAGAATATTTAGTTTTAGACGTAGGCTATTATTTTGGGACAAACCAAAAATGAAACATGGACTATTAATATGAGACGGAGGGAGTATAAGCCAATTTGAGTAAAGGTCAAATTACTTAGGAGTGATCATGAGACCAAATTTAGAAATTTCACATCAGTATATTTTTTGTGATGAAAAGGATATAAGTTAAAAGTTTTCAACTATAAGGACTCCATAGTAGAATGGTGTTGTTGAAAGAAGAAACCACACACTACAAACAAATTCGAAGGACAATGCTATCATATTTCAAGCAGCCTCAGATATTCAATGTTGAATCAATTAATACAACTTGTTAGATCTAAAATCGATCCAATATTATAGCTAGAAATCGAAAAGGATATAATGTAAAACTTTTCAAACCATAGAATTATTTTCTATGAAGAAGCAACATTAAGAAATAAATCATTATTACAAGATGCATACAAATATATGGTATTATTGAATCACATATATCTTTATGAATCATAAATCGATACCATAGTAATACTTTAACAATAGAAGAATAGACTATCCGGATGATGTTAAACCATACATGATGAAAAATCCATCATTTTCTAAAAAAAATGAAGAATCAATGTAGTAAGATTAAATTTCCCACAAAGCATACGATCCAATGTTTTCAATTAATGGTTTTGAAGAGCAAGCAATAAGGTTTGATGATTTCCTGGAGATTCAATGGTTGGATCCTCTTTAGTTTTGGACAATGGCTTCAAAGCATACAATCCAATGTTTTCAATGGGTTGATTGATTAGATGTTCACTTTTTGTCACTTCCGATTTTTGCTAGACAATAGCCTTTTTTGGGTGATATTCCTCATAATTCATGTGCTTGTTTGATTCGATACAATTGAAGTGATTTGTTCCTAGTGTATGGAGGTTATTGTATGCCTTTAGTGTATCTACATACGACTTCATATATCTCTATTATTGATGGTAATGGATTTTAAGTGACCTAAGTGGTCCTGTGGTTTTTACTCTCATTTTTAGGTTTTCCATGCTAAAATTTCAGTGTTTAGTTGTTTGCTGATCAATATTCATTATTGAATGCCATAGTTGTGTGCATCCTCATAAGTTCATTTAAGTTAGGGAATTTTAGTCCAACAAAGATTACTTTCCTTGCATTTGTTTATATTTGTGATTGTGTATTTTCCATCAATTGGGATCCTAAGATCCATAAATAAGATAGTAAAATCTTACTCCAATCTGATCACACATCTTTAGTGTATTTTCTATAGTAAAATATGTGGTCTTCTAAACCCTAGAAAATTCGATATTTCTGTAAAAAATCTCACGTAAAACCTAAAATATTGTTTATTTATCTTGAAATTGAGCTTTAAAATTTCGTCAATTCAACTCCAAATTGAGCATTGCCCATCGTATGGATTTTGGTTAACACTTAAGAAGTTAAAGTTGATTCCAATATCGATGTTTTAATTGGTGTTTCCATCTACACATTATTATGGCTTGCATCTATAAAATTATGGTTAATGTGTAAGAAATTAAAGCTACTACCGATCTCTTAACTGATGTTGTTTCCACCTACACGAATTATTGCGACTTGCATCTACAAAAAATTTGGTTATCATTTAAGAAATTAAAGTTGATTCCACAATTTATGTTTTAATAGGCGCAGTTTGGATCTATGATAATTATTGTAGTTTGCGTCTACAAGACTTATGGTTGTTGTTTAAGAAATTAAAGTTACATCCACCATTGATATCTTAATTGATGTTGTTTCCATCTGTAAAAAATATGGAACTGCTTAAGTTGCTAAAATTAATTTTAGTATCGATGTCTTAATCAACATTAAATGCATAGTCGATACTGCACAAGCAAGACCTTAAGACCAAATTTAAAGACTAATTCATTTTGATAGGATATTCCAATCACAATATAATCTTATATACATGATCTTACAAAACGTAAATGATCACATGTAAGATCTAAAAACTGAAATAGATTTTAAAAAATGTATTGCATTACAGTCACATCGGTTGACTTTCATTTTTCTTTGTCATATAAATAAAAATAATTTATCATCTTAAAAGTTAAAACATTAACGGATGGGGAGTTCATTTGAGATATGGAAAACTATTTGGACATTCATTGGTCTATTAGAAAGGCGACAAATTAAGTCATGTTCAACCTTTTCTAAAGCAAGCGATGATAATGATAAACAAGATTATAAAGAATTGAATGATGACGATTGGTCTTGACTCTGATCAATCTTTTCAACGCCAAGAATAACAAACCAAGACGAAAACAACAAAGATCAAATAAAAACAAATTTGAAAAGCAATTTATGACAAAGATAATAGAGTTATCAAGATCAAATCAAATAAATATAATTATTAAAGAAATCCTACAATCAACCATATAATAAAGCTAAACATGATAATATATTTATTTATGGTTCTTACACTTACATTTGAGCATATCAAAAAGTCACAACACAAAATGGGATTGCAACTTCTGTTACCAATAATGTCAAGATTGCCAATATTATTCACCCACGATGATGCCTTGTCTTGGACTTCTCACATTTCATGATTTTCTTCTAAACATATTTAAAAAAAAAAGTTAGATTTAAAAAAAAAAAAAACATTACAAAAAATTTAGTTCATTAGTCTCACTCTCACCTGTTGTCATCTTTATTTGGTTCGCTGCTCCAAACTATGTCTTTTAATCCCGAAGAAAAGTTCTTGTAGAACTGCCATTCAACAAAACACAAAAATAATCGGCTGACATGACATGACATTACATGACATAATAGAATAAGCTTGTAGAGTATTTTCAAACAATGAGGATGAGAGCATTTTCGTCTTTTGTACATAAGAGAGATCAAGAGCGAGTCTTTGTCCTGTCTGGTCCCACCTGGATGGGAAAAAAACTTTCATTTCTTCCTATTGACATCGACACGAGTTCCAATGGACGTCAAACACAGGACAACCTAATCTGTCATATCAGGTCAAATACAATACAACCTGATCTGCTATATCATGTCAAACACAGTACAACCTGATCTGTCATATCAGGTCAAACACAGTACAATTGATCTGTCATATCAAGTCAAATACAATACAACCTGATATGCCATATCAGGTCAAACACAGTACAACCTGATCTGTCATCTGTAAAGATTTGTGAACTTTTGCTTTAACACGTACGCTATGAAATTCCAATGTGTCGCCGCCGGTTTTCCTGAGCTCCACCATGTGTAGTGAGGGAGCCACTTCAAAAACCTAAACAAAATCAAAGTAGACAAATATTACAATATTATACTTTTAAAAAAAATATTCAAACACCCGAATAGCAATATATTTTTATTTTCTTTATTATAGCATCCTATATTTGTTTATTTCTATGAAAAATGATTTTATACCTCTGTAGCCACAGCAAGGTGGCCCTTCCTTCCAGTCTTGTCACCTTGTAATTTCATCTATAAATGTTTAAAAATAATAAATTTTAAACTTATTAACATGATGTCAAACAATAAAATGAAGAATTGAAGCACAATTATAAAAAAGAAAAATTACCTTGTAATTTCTTTTGTGAACATTAAAACCCATGGGTTTTGCAGTTTCCTCGATTTTAGACATGATTTCATTAGCAGGACACTTAGAAGCAAAACTTGTTTCTCTCTTTACAAGACCCTGTTTATTTAAATCCCAAACATAAAAAAAAATTATATAGAAAACGCGATTGACGAATATGTAATTTGTAAATGAATACAATTGCAACACACCTTTTGCTTCTCAAACATATTTTCTAGACTAAAACCTTGTGATCTTGAGATCAACTCAAAGGCATTCATGGATTCAGGTTTCTCTTTCTTTTCTGTAACAAGATGTTCCTGAAATAAAAAAGAATCATATGAACAAATATAAAAATGTATCTGAAATTTTATAAATTCTTTAATCCCATTCATTAATTAACATACCTTTGATTCATTGAAAACAGCATCTACATCATCTAGGCTAACATCTTCTTCCTGCTCAAAATTTGGAGGTTTATAACCTTTCTTGAACCAATCATTTTCCAAGATTTCAGAAATTGTTATTCGCTGCAAATCATCATGGAGTTCACAACTATATACAATATAATTCCATAATCTGTAAACATTAAAAGATTTAAAAAAAAAAAAAACTCACAGTTTTGGGGTTTGGATCAAGAATTCGTGTCAACAGTTTCTTTCCACCAGATGAAAACCATGGTGGGCATCTATAATCAGCCTTCTCAATCTGAATAAAAGTTGGATTTTTTTTTTTTTAAATGTATAAAATGAAGATTAGGATAATACACATATAACAATATTAGCAAACTTACTCTTCTATATAATTCAATGAGATTTGCTTCATCAAATGGTAAGTATCCTGCCATGAGGACAAAAAGGATAACTCCACAAGACCATATATCAGAGGCTGCACCATTGTAACCTTTTACAGTGAGCACCTGAAAAGTAAAAAAAAAAAATAAGAATTCAAGTAAATATTTACCATTTTACATCTATAAAGTTCATTGCTATTAGTGTTACCTCAGGAGCAACATAATTTGGAGTCCCACAAGCTGTGTGCAGCATACCATTTTCCTAAAATTACAAAGAATTCAAATGTTAGTAATTAATTAACCAAAAAAACAAAAAACAAATAGCTTTTTGCAAATTTATACATACCACTTGTTGAGACAATCCGAAGTCTGAAACTTTTAGAACACCATATGAGTCCAAGAGAAGATTTTCAGGCTATAATAAGAAGGGGCAGATAAGTAATTAATAAACCACAAACCAGTTCATTACTTATGAGTTATGAACTTGTGATAATGAAGATGAACAAATAAGAACCTTGAGATCTCTGTGATACACGCCTCTACTATGACAGTAATCTACAGCATTAATTAGTTGCTGAAAGTATCTTCGAGCTTCATCTTCTTGAAGTCTCCCATGTTTGGCCTGTAATACCATTGAAAAGTTATAATATTTTGGATTATTAAAATGATAAAAGAGAATCACGAAAGAGGTAAGAGTTACTTACTATTTTGTCAAAGAGCTCGCCTCCATCAACATACTCAAGAACAATATAGATCTTTGTTTTGCTTGCCATAACCTGTTTGGATGTAAAGGAAATTAATAGTTTCTATATTCAGATTCTCAAAACAGATCAAACACTTCAGATTCTCAGTAATATTAGTTTTCTTTTAGATGGATTAGATATATTGGCCTCCAAAAGCTAGATATATAATTACCTAATACGACCTAATCCAATCAATGAGGAACAACTCAACGATGTCAATATCACACTTATACGAAAATAGAATAATCAGAAATCCAGATGTTTGTGATGATTCCATGATATTCCAAAAAAAGAACAAAGCATTATTTATCGATCAAATCAAACGATAACATTGGATCAGAACTTGATTACAAAGAAGGTAATCTTCAAATTGAAGTAGGAAATTGAAGTGGTATACTATACTCACCTCATAGAGATTTAAAACGTTGGGATGTTTGATCAACTTCATGGTTGAGATTTCTCTTTTCATCTGACAATTTACAAACAGGACGAACGTAAGCATAAGCAATTACTAAAGTAAACATAAATTGATAATACAAGAGATGGAATTACTTACTTGTTCGACCATCTTGTGTTTGAGAATACGCTCGCGATCGAGTATTTTAATGGCGACGGCATCACCGGTGACGAGGTTTTTAGCGAACTTGACTTTGGCGAAGCTGCCTTCGCCCAACGTCTTGCCAATCTCGTACTTGCCTACTCGTGTCCTTCTCTTCCCGCCACCGCTACTCATTCTCGTCGATCAACAACGGTGATTTTTCCGGCGATTGATGATCAGTAGTAGTTTGCTAAGGTTTGCAGTTGGAAAGCGAAGATACAAAAAGAAGAGGACGCAAACGGTTTGGATATAGAATTGAAGAGAGAGCCATGATCACTGATCAGCCATAGCCATGGGATATAATCTGTGGGGCCACACGTATCGTACGCGATAACACTCACTGACCGTACCTTCCATACTCCATACCTCCCCCTCACCTTCCATGGTGGGCCAAGATGAGCAATAATGTGTTTAAAATTTGGATCATGACCTTGTAAATTGTACTGAATTTCCATGCATATACCAAACTAGGTGGATGTTATATGATGATGGTAAGAATTGAATAAAAATAACAATGATTATAGACATGAGAATATTCTTTTGATCTATTTTATGCATTAATTGATTGATATTATATCTTAGGGCATGTGATTTGGATAGGGTATATGTGACATATGCTTCATGGGACATCAATTTCCCAACCACTTTAACCTAGACAAGTTCAAAATGATTTTTAATTTATATAACCAAGTGGTAAAATTAAAACATGTTGCTAATGGTAACCGATATAAAACAATTTCAAAACTATTATAATGTATGGTAAATTGTACAGCCGATGGTTTCACACTATTTTAGTCCTGATGAAAAAAGGTTAATTGCATAATACCATATGTCAAGCAAGGTATGTTACTTGTTGGGTCTTAATTTTCCTTTGGACAGGGGAAGATCTATGTAGGAGCCCGGGTAGCTCGTATTACCTCAAACTTTTGGGTGTAGTGGAATTATTTTGAAAATTTTTCGGTATAATGCAATTTTTTCTGTGTGTTACTCTTAAAATTTACATGTGCTATTCATGACATCTCGTTCTAGCTCCGCCACTGCTTTTGGAACCGCTAAGTTTTCATCATAAGGATAAATCTCTTACTTAGTTTAACTCAAAACTGTTTTGATGTGTTTGCCAGCTTTTTTTTTCTTTGGGTGAGGGGGGGGGGGGGGTGGGGGGGGATTATGCCCATAATACACATTTTTTGAGGGTGTTTTCCAAAATAGACATAAAAAGCCTCTTTTCACATATAGACATGGATTTCGTAGAGCTGCCTCCGAGGGTTCTGCGGAATGAACTAATGCTCCGCGAAATTGATATGGTAAAAAAAATATACAAAAGGGCTGAAGAAACGTTCAGTTCCGCAGAGCTCCCTCTGTAGGCTCTGCAGAACGACACACATGCTAATTAAGTTCCCAATTTAATACTTCGTGGAATGACACTTGTAGGCCTGTGGGCTCTGCGGAAGTGCATGAACGCTTCGCGGAATTGTTAGGTGGAGTTGGTGCCAAACATTTATGATGTTTTTTTTGTGTCATAAATAAATTTTCTTATTTAAAAAAAAGAAAATCTGACTTCATGGTTTTTTTTTTCAGTAAAAATGAGTTCCATTATTTTATTTACCGGGGGTTTCGGTAGTTAAGCAATGGAATTAACATGTATGTTAGAGCAAAGTATAACAACTTAGGTTTATTTGTCTGATTTTGTTAAAAATAAGACACGTATGTTCAATAGTAATATATTGTGGCTCTTTCAACACCCGGATCGTGGATATCTCATGAACATTACAGAAAATATAGAATTTTTTCATCTCGGAAATATAATGCCTGAAACGAAGGACATAATGCATTAGTATTTGGAGGTGAATGATGGACGGGTTGAAGAGGCACCGGTGGAAGACAACATTGTATCAGATAATGTTGACACCATTATATCAAATAAAGATGAAGAGTGTTCATAAGAAGAAATTGTGGCAGTAAATAAAGTGGAATAACAAAATTTATATGAGAGACTAGCTAGATGATGAAAACTCAAATGAGGGATGGTCAGAAGATGAGTTCACTTACGGAAAAAAGCTTCAGACATGTTTTATGGTATGCATTCCATCCATGATTGTCCTGATTCGATTCTTGAACTTGGACCATTTCATAGTTTAGGACCACATAATGATATGGTTGTTCGTCAACCGTATAAAAACAAAGAAGAGCTAATACTTACTACGAGTCTAAAAGAAACTAGAAAAAAAATTCAGTTTAAGAGAAAACATTCAATCAAAAGTCGTTACGAGGTTTATTGTGAAATAGAAAACTGCAGTTGGAGTTTATATGCAAAACGCCTTGAACCGAATGACAAATTTGAAATTAGGACGTTTGATGATGTGCACACGTGTTCATATTCATTACAGATACACCCAAATCATAAGCACGCAAATAGTAACATTATGGGTAAAACTAATTCGAAAGTTTGGAGGCCTAATGAAATATTAAGGGATATGAATGTTTTGCTAGAAAATAATGTAAGTTACAAACAAGTGTGCAGTGCAAAACAATATGCTAATATGAAATTAATGTTAGGGTCCCCCAAAGAATGTTTTTCCAAACTTCCTATTTATTTTCACATCTTGAAGAAGCATGATTGTAACACCTCATTTTTGCATTCCAAGAGAATTCAATAAAAACTGCCGTTTATAAAATTCAAAGTAGAGATAGATTAATTTTTAGCCAAAGTAATCATCATAAACATGTAGGAAATATTAATACAATTCCCGTAGATATATAGAACACCCGAATCTGATTTCGTATGAAGAAGTTATGTTTTTTCGAAGTATTACGACTAAACCGACACGACTATGCGTGTGGTAAAATACAAATTAGAGATATATTACTTATTAGCCTTAGCGATCTAAATGAAATTCATAGTAGTCATAAAACCGAGAGCGTGCATGTAGAGAACGCCTAAATATAACTTCATATGAGGAAGTTATGATTTTTAGAAGTTTCAGCGCATCAGTGTATGACACAGAAACCAAATATAAATGGGTCGATTATTACGAAAAAAAAATCTAAATGAGAGTTAAAGATCTTATCAATACCTAACTATAACACCCTGCTTCGAATCGTTTCGTAATTCAGGGTCCTGACCTGAATGTCAGTTATCATAAGGCTTCAGACCTTGGGGGAAAGAGATTTAGACTCCTTTGGATGTGGGTAATGTAGATTAGGTGATCCGAGAGTTCGATTGGTGCTTTGGATCCCGAGGGTATAACCGTAAAGTGATAGTTCGGGCATTTTTTGAATTTTGGCTTTAAGTTCGGAAAGTTTTAAGGTAAAGGAGAGTTGGTAGGATTATAGAGCTTCTCATTACCTTTTGTGGATATAAAGAACGTCGAAAACGGAGTTGAAACGAAGAAGTTACGACTGTTTGAAGTTGGGATGATTTTTGGGTTAGCCGTGTACGTAGGGCGTACGGGGAGTACGCAGGGCGTACGAGGTCATCCCTAGTACATTGGGCGTACCAGGAGTACACAAGACGTATGCGATTAGTGCCCAAAGCCTATTTTCGTGGTTTGAGCCCTATTTAAGCTCTTTAACTCCCCCAAACCCATTCCATTCTCAGCCTCCACCTCTCCAACACCCTCTCTTGTAACCCTGACCCTAGATTGAGCCTTGTGAGCAAAAAGAAGGTGTTTTTAAGTGCTTTGGAGTGTTCTTGGTGCACCTTGGAGAAAAAGGAACTCATCAAACAAGTGGTGGTTATATTGGAGCTTGTAGATCCAGACTTTGTTCACCTTGATCTTTCTTCTAGAGTTATAAAGTTTGAATCTTGATAATGAAATTGTTAGATCTAGTTAGTTTTGGGTGTTATGAGCTTTTGGTCACTTTAAGTGCATAAAGTTTAGATTCTTTAAAGTTTGTGACCTTGTTATGGATAAAATTGGAAACTTTATCCATCTAAACATCATTTTGATTCAGATCTGAATGTTGGAGACTTGTACTTAATGGATTAAGTTGAAAAAGATGCACTTTTGGATCCCTTTGAGATTTAAAGACTAGATCTTGTTTGTTGGGGCCATTCTAATGGATAAAGTTTGGAACTTTATCCATTATGGAGCTATTATGAACCATAAAAATGTGATCTTGGCCTTTCTATCCCTTCTATACAAGAGTTGTGATGTCTTATTGGGTTAAGAACTTAGGGTTTTGGACATTAAGCACTTTATAACCATGAAAAGTCATAAAGTTGGAAACTTTATGACTTAGGACATCATTTTGGGCTTGGATCTGAGTTTTAGATGGAAGGGCTTAATGAAATAAGCTCTTAATGGAGTTTTAGGACTAGGCTACGTACGCTGGGCGTACCTGGTGGTACACTGCGTGTACGCGGTCAGCGCCCCACTTTTGGTCAATATTAGAGTACGTTGGGCATACTTTCTTGGTACGCATGGTGTATTCCGCTGGGAAGGAATATTGACTTTTGGACCTTGACCGTTGACTTTGACTTTGACTAGGGTTTACCAAGTTTGACCTAAGGGCATTTTGGGTAATTTGATTTATAGTTTGAGTTTTAGGTTCTTGTTAATTGTATAGGTGACCGGTAGAGATAACTTTTAGAGCAGTGATCGGTGCAACTATTCTTTCAGACTGTGAGGTGAGTTTTCTCACTATATCCATGGGTCGAAAGCACTAATGTCGACCCATTACTTGTTATGTGGAATGCTAGTTGTCTCTGTGATGCTTGCATGAAAGACCGGGATCTGGCTCCTAGAAATTGTACGAAAGACCAGGATCTGGCCCCTAGCAATTGTATGAAAGACTAGGATCTAGCCCTGGCAGTTGTATGAAAGACCAGGATCTGGCCCCTAAAACTTGTATGTAAGAACGAAATTTGGACCTCGACACTGGAAGGAAAGACCATGGGGGTAACCCATGACACTTGTATGTTTTGGTATATGGTATTTTGGGGATATCACTAAGCTTTGTGCTTACGGTTTCATATTTATGGTTTCAGGTACTTCCGGTTACAAAAGGAAGTGCCCGACATGACTGCACATCATCCCCCCAGAGTTTTCCACATTGGCAATTAATGATATTACTCTGATGTTCAAATAATATATTCACTGTGATCGTTCTTGGAACAATTTGCTTGTATGATTTATTATTTTAAAAATGAAAATTTTACTTTGGATTTTCGTGACGTTACAAGTTGGTATCAGAGCCTTGGTTTGAGGGATTCGAGCACACGCTTGAGTATGTCCGAACTCAAACTGAGGAATTGGTAATATTTTG